TCTATTGGCATGCTCTGTTGATGAACTGGGGACTTTCCCAACCAGTTGCAAATATGCAACATCCCAACCAGTTGCAAACAATAATTAGCATCTGGTAATGCTAATTGTTAGACAACTAGAAATGAAGAACCTTTGCAGATTGTGGCAAGTCTTAATTTGTTTTTATTCTCTTCTTAAACCAGAGGCTCTTGTTAAATCTTTTGCTGGCATATTTCTGCAACATTACACCTGTTTCAAAATGGGAGGGGTCCTTAATGAAATAGGATTGGGCAAAGAGGGATTACTTTGTGTACCATTCACCATATCCAGCATACACACTTGCAGCTGCACAACCATGGCTGAAACATCTGGAGCTGCTGCACTATTGCCATGGGATACTAATGCAAGCACCCTTGGGCAGTTTCCTGCCCCATTAGCTTTTCTAATATCTCCTAAGACTTGGCTACAGACCTCGCAGTAGTGTAAGGAAGGATTACATGGCTGGAGCCTTTCAGGAGGAGGATAGCTCAGTGATTTGTCCAGCTCATTTCCTGTTTACTTAGCATTCTCAGCTCTTCTGGAAAGATGGCCAGAGGTCTTCCCCCAAGAGGAGTAAGGCCATTCCAAATAAACTATAGGAAAAAGGGGTGTTTTTCCCCCCAAAGAGAAATATATAAGCACACAAGGTAACCCCCAGCTGAGTACCAGTAGACAGAGAGCTTTCTCCCATGTTCACTTGATCTTCATTCAAGAAGAATCTCATCATGCAAATCTGGTGTCACAGATACCAGCCAATAGGTGAAGATTGGAAGCAACAGGCTGTGCCAAATATGCCTGGTGCTGGGTAAGCTTTTGCAGTGAAAAGCCACAGTGGATATTAATACTGTAGCATGTTCCAAAATTCCTCTAATTTGGGGCAGGTGATAATATATGGTCACACTGAGCAGGGCAATTATGTAACGAGATCACCAGTGTGTGTGTGTGTGTGTGTGTGTGTGTGCGTGTTTGTGTGCAGAATGTCCACTTTTCTAGATCGAGTCTTAATATGCCCATCTTTCGTTTGCTTCCTACCCCAAATTGGTGGGTAACGGTCAGTGGTGAAATCCTCCGAGGTCATCCTGCTTTCTAACAAATATAAATCACGTGGCACAGCTGATTGTTGAAAATACCGGTTTGGATGAACTGGTAGCATTTTTTTTTTACTACCGATTCGCCCGAACTGGTAGCTTTTATTACTACCAGTTTGCCCGAACTGGTGTGAACCGACTGAATACCACCACTGGTAATGGTGCAATTTGTTTAATAATCTGCTGCTTAATTTTGAGGATGTGACTTCTGGGACTCTAAAGCTATCAAAACATGGGTGGAACACAATATATTTCTTCCTATATGTTCACTATTGCTCTTCATAAGGCAGGACATAGGAGAAATTTGGGGGAGGAGTAGATGAATTTTTCAGAGAAAATGTAGAAAGCAAACATTAAAAACGGGTGAGCCCAATATCTGGAACAAAAGTGCATGGTTTCATCTCTTCTTTGTCTCTCTTTCTGCCAGCATCTTCCTTCCTGACACTTTTCCAGTCCCCCCTTCTCTCTCTTCCACCTTTATTTTGTAAAACTCAAGTGTATATAATGCTCTTTTTTTTTATTTCCCCACAAAAACAATGCTGTGAAGTGCCCAGTCACACAGTTGCTTTTAGTGTCTAAGGAAGGACTGGAACCAGCAGTGTGCTGGAGCCAGGAGGCACCAACTTGTGAGAGCAACTGATACATTTTTGGGACTTTTGAGTTGAGCCCCTATGCTTAGTGCATCAATCAGCTGTTGGTAGCATGGCATGATGCTGACATTGGGGAAAGCAGAGTGGGTTGCTAAATACTTACCAGCACACCACAAACTATAACTCCCAGACTCCCAGATTCTAATTAGCACCTTAACCATAGCACCAAACTGGTTCTCAGAATCTTTTCAAGGGATTCCGAGCAAATTAATAGCTGTCTATTTTTAGCTTTAAAAAGATCTGCCTATGTGAAAGAGAGCCAGGTCCCCCTGCCCTCTACTCTCCCATTCCTTTTACTCCTGTCACTCTGTAAAAGAAATTAGAGTTTGTTTCAAGACCTGAAGAAAAAGAGAAAGGAGGATGAACGAGTTAGCATTGAAATCAGGAAGGAGACACAGCAGCCCTGGAGTTTTTAAAAGGCAAATGAGTATTATCTCCAGGTAAAAAAAATCTGGCATCCTTAATTCCATCATATCAACCTTTCCCATCCTTGCATGACCTAGATGAGTTGGGATTGCAAGTCCATTCCCAGTTACTTGACCCAACACAGTTGGAAGATGTCAAGTGAAGGTCCACGGTGTACGTGGTGATGCAGAATACATTTATTCTGCTTGCAAAAGCTAATCAATGACTTGATCTTCGACATGTGCCATTGCAAATCCTCACTTAGTAGTGTAACAATCAAGCAATGTGAACAGGTAACTATGAACAGCTCCAAGATAACAGCTTCATAACCTGAGACCCCAAACCCTTCAATGCAGCTTCTAGGGCCCTTCTGCAAATTGCTGCCAACTTGTCATTTTTAATATGGCAAACATGGAAATTAGTTGCTGCCAAGGAAGTAATCCTCTTCACAGCATTTCATTATTTCAGCTTTAATTTAAAAAGCAATGAAATCAAGTTTTGTTTCTATTCTGGCCCCATCTGATTACTGAAGTTCCTGGGGCACCACTCCAAGGACTGAAAAAGATTGTGCAGTACCCCTAGAGACAGGAGTGGACAATAAGCAGTCCAGGGCCACAGGCAGCCTTTAACTAGCAAAGATGCAGTTCTTGGACCCTAACATGAAGTGGATTAACTCCTGTCCTGCTACTATTAATGGCACAAAGACAAGCATTCTGCTCCTGCTTGCCAGCTGATCCTTGAACCAGTGGGGGTGAGAAGAAACAGAGATGAGATAGAGATGCGTTTGTTAAGTAGGACAGTGTGCACATCAGGAAAAGTTTGCTTTGATAGCCTTTGATACAGTCCGAATGGACTCCGCAAACGACTGTGCAATTAAGGGCGTAATATTTAGGAACACACCACAAAAGTGGGTGAGACAAGAGGCATTTTGGAAGGGGGAAATCAGAATAAGCTACAGGTAGTCCTCGACTTATGACCACAATTGAGCCCAAATTTTTGGTTGTTAAGTGAGACATGTGTTAAGTGAGCCTTGCTCCATTGATTTTGCTTGTCAGAAGGCAGCAAAAGGGGATCACATGACCTTGGGACACTGCAACGGTCATAAATGCGAACCAGTTGTCAAGCATCGGAATTTTTAATCACGTGACCCTGGGGATGACTGCAACGGTTGTAAGTGTGAAAAAACAGTCGTAAGTCACTTTTTTCAGTGCCGCTGTAACTTCAAACGGTTACTAAATGAACGGTTGTAAATCGAGGACTATCTTTATTGTACCTGGATTGCAAACATCTGGGTAGCCACTGGATGGCAGCAAACAGAAAATTCAGCTTTTACTAACACCTTGAGTTAATTTGGGGTTTTGTGGTCCTAGCTCAGAAATCTTACACTCTCGCTCACTCGCTCACTCACTCATTCACCCACCCACCCATCCATCCATCCATTTATCCATCTAGTTATAGATCGTCCTATAGCACTTCAGCTCCAGCATACAAGTTTTTTCTATGGAAACAATTCCTAGGATCATCAGATGCGATGCAAATCATCAAAGCCGGGAAGGGCCCTAAGCTTTCCTTTTGTAACAGTAACAGAGTTGGAAGGGACCTTGGAGGTCATCTAATCCAACCCCCTGCTCACGCAGGAAACCTGTACTAGGGATTCGAACTGCCAAACTGCCGACCTTTCTGATCGACAAGCTCAGTGTCTTAGCCACTGAGCCACCTAGCCAGGCTAAGGTGGTGCAGTAAACACTGCACCTGCATTCCTATGCCCCGTTTTAAAAATATTCCTTTTCTCCCGTTTTTGTATGGACACTATTCCAGACTCTCAAGTGTTACAGGTTAAATGATTTTGTGCGCTGATTTAGTCTTGTTTCCTTTTCAGACATTCTCTTTCACCAAAACTAAAGTGAGGCTTATGTGCAACTGATCAAGATTGAAAGGATAGCTCATCTGATGCCCTCCAGATGTTTTGGATTTTTACCCCCCATGAGCCCCACCATGGCTAAGACAAAGGAATTGGGGGGGGGGGAATTCCTTGTCCAAACATCTGGAGGGCATCAAGTTGCTTGTCTGATTTAACCATTCAAAATCTCAGCCCCTTTAAAAAAAAAAAAAGGAAAACCAAACAAAGCTGTTTCTTAAAATACATATCAGGAAGTGGCTCAAACAGGCTGACATGGCATTTGGCCAACCAGCTTTCTCCCATCTGGGGTCTTAAGACTGCGGCAATACGAAGCAAATGTCAAAATTAGCTCTCAAGCACGGAAGCACAATCCATCAGGCTAGTTCATCCTCAACCTCCTGAGTATTTTTGCCATTAACATCGTTGTAACAACAAAGAGAACCCAATGGAAGAGAGTATGTGTGTGTCCAGGGAGTGGGGGTAGCAAATGATAACTGTACATTTTTAGAAGAATATTCATGTTAGGTCAGCCAGAGGAAAAACAAAGTTAAAGCTATTCCTTTGTACTAAAGCTTTGGAGGCAAAGCGAAGCAAGAGGATGTTTCAGCAGGAAATCGGGGTGAGATCCTAGTTACTCGCTACTTTCTTAAGTTGCACAGGGAGCAAAGTTTCCAAAAAAAAAGAATGATGGACTAAGCCAGACAATTTACTGCCCCATTATCTTATTTCACTCCGTACATCAAATGACTTGGAAAATCAAAGACGTTCAGCGAATAGCTTTCCCTCCGGCCTGTCTGGGGATGATGGGGACTGATACCACCAAATCCAGCACACACCATCCCAGTCAAAGGCTGTTACACTATGAGAAAACCACATCTCCCACCCAATCCCTGCCTTCCTTCTTTATCCAAGAACTTCCCCTGATTTTTGAACACCTACCCGGCAGCTACTTGGTATTCGGGCACTTTCCCTTCTCCCCAGGGCTCTCAGGAGAGTTTCCACTGTGTTTCGGGGCTTCATGGTGTCCGAGGAGGCAATGACACATGAATCCTACTTGTGCCTCTGAGCCTTGGCTTGCCAAAATGCTTGCGCGCAAATCCCACCGCCTCACACCACCAAGAAACGCCAGCCCTCTGCACAATGCCAGGGGCTGCCGTCAGCGACACTTCTGTTGGCTTCTCAAATCAGTCCAGCCCTTGGAGGATGTGAGGCTGGAAACAATGAGGTAGGAGCCAAGCTGGGCTGCGAGTTCAGGGCAAGCTGTCAAGGGAGCTCCGTTTCCTGATTCACAATGGCTCCTTCCCTTTGCAGGGAGGTAATGGAAAAGGAGGAGGCAGCAGCAGCAGGGAAAGAGGGATGGAGCCCCTGGCAGAGACGCAGAGGGCTCTAGGTCAGCTGTCTCCAAGCATGGGCCTTTGAATCATCAGCAACTCTGAGGAGCCAGAAATCAGAAAGAGGTTGGCAGAGGATATATGAAAAGAGACAAATGAGACCAATAGGGATTTCAAATGAAGTCAGTCTGTCTGTCTGTCTGTCTGTCTGGGAATGATGAAGGGGAGTGACTATTGAGATTACTGTCTGTCAGAAGAGCATTTTCCTCAGGCACACACAGAGATAAAGTAACACACAGAATTCCTGCAAGTAGAAAATGAACAACCCAGGGAAAAAGCTTTAGTCTAGAGCAGGGGTGGGCAAAATGTGGCCCTTTTACAACCTACAAGCTGGCTCAGGAATTCTGGGAGTTGAAGTCCACAGGTCATAAAGGGGCCATATTTGCCCACCCCTGATCTAGAGCAGTGTTTCTCAACCTCAGCAACTTTTAAGATATGTGGACTTCAAGTCCCAGAATTCCATGGCCATACTGCCATGGGAATTCTGGAACTTGAAGTCCACTCATCTCAAGTGGCTGAGGCTGCTTTAGTGAACTAATTTTCTAGTATTGGATGGTTTCGTTTTTCCCAAAAGGGGAAAAAAGAGCGCTTAAAAAATAGGGATTCAAACTCAACCATACATTAAGTTCCATAGACTAGCACAGTGATGGCTAACCTTTTCTGGACCAAGTACCCAAAGCCCGCACACCCCGAACCCCCAAAATGCAATATGCGCACTGCCCCCGCACATGCGAGCCAACCCCTGTGCATGTGGGCCCTGCATGTGCCCCCGCACATGCACATGTGCCCCCAGCATATGCACATGTGTGTGCCCCCTGCATGCCCCCTGCCCCGTGCATGTGTGCACCACTCACATGTGCCCTGCTCCCCAAGCATGCGTGGACGGGGCCCCTGCGTGTGCTCCGCTTCCCGCGCATGTACGGCAGAGACCCGAGGAACAGCTGGCCGGCAGGATGCGTGTGCACATGCGTGGTGGAGCTCAGCTGGGGCATCAGTTCACGTGCCCACCCCATTGCCAATCCATGGCCTGTTTTTATTGCTTCTCTTCCTGGTCACTGCCAGTGAAAGTGACAGGCGCAATGTGTGTAAAATGTATTTTACACACATTGGAGGAGCCTGCAATAAGGAGCAAAATAACACTGGTTACAGCTAAGGATACAATAACTCATACCTGTCTCATTTATACACTAGGGCAGTGATGGCTAACTGTTTTTCCCTCGAGTGCCAAAAGCGTGCGCGCATGCACTATCGCACACGTGCACGTGCCCACACCCATAATGCAATGCCCCTCCCGCTTGCACCGCCCCTCTGCACATGTGTGTGACCCCCCCGCATGCGTGCACAACCTCAACTCCCCCCGCACATGCACATGCGACCCCTCCCTTTTGGCCTCACATCCCAAAACAGCACTGGGGGTGAAAGCCTTTGCCTTCCAAAATGGCTGGGGGGGGGGGGAAGCTTCCAAAACGGCTGGGAGAGGGAAAAAAAGCCTCACCTCCCAAAATATCACTGGGACGGGAATCTCCAGAGATCTGGGAGGGCACAGGCAGCAGAAAGTGAAGAGAAAGGTAGGTCTCCCCACGCATGCCACTTGCAGGGTAAACCCGAAAATCAGCTGGCCGGCGGGAAGCGATTGCCCATGCGCAGTGGAGCTGAGCTAGGCAACGGCTCGCGTGCCCGCAGAGAGGGCTCTGTGTGCCACCTGTGGCATGTGTGTCATAGGTTCGCCATCACGGCACTAGGGATAAGATTAAATTAGCATCCTAAGAATGAGCCGAAGAAGAGTATTGTCAGGTTGGACAGGGGTTAGATGTGAGTGCAAATATTGTTTGAAATGCTGGAATATTAATTTGTAATTCTAACATACATACATACATGCATGCATGCATGCATGCATATATATGGTGCATACATGCATGCATGCATGCATGCATACATACATACATACATACTCTGGCACAGGGAACTTCAGGTAGAGCACCCTGGGCACCATAAATAAAAAAGCACACTCTCTTAATTTTTTTTCCACCCCCTGGAAAGAAAGGATTATGGAAGAAGTGCTGGGAAATGACCTGACAGTTGTCACTGGAAGATGAAATCATCAAGATTTCTTCTAAAACTCCACGAGCAAAACAGGCCATTATGCCATGGAAAAAATAAATCTCGCCTGGAAGGATTCCAGACCAAATTCACCCTCCCTCTCCTGCCTCTTCAATCTGTAAACTACTAAATGGTTGGAGAGCAATATATCCATTCAATGAAGTACTGCAGAGATTACTCCTAGCTCATTAAAAACGTATCCAATTATTTGGCTGAGATGATAAACTAAACTGATGAGCAAGGCCAACCAGCCAAAAGACTCAACGGGTCTGGCTAATGCCCCAGAGTTGGCTTCTCCACTTTGCTAAAGCAAGGGGGAAGGCAGGGTGTCCACACCGCAGGTGATTTATCAAGGAACTTGGTATGACAGAAATGCTGGAAGTAAGAAGTTCCATGTGATCAAGTGACACGTTGTTCTGTCCCAGCTATGGACCTCAAAGAATGCAGCACACACAAAGTCCGTTCAAACCTTAGTTTACTAAATAAACGAGTCTTTTACAACAATGGCTGTTAATTAACTGCATTAACAGCCGCCAAGAATTCAAAGAATAATAACTGAAAGCTTACTATGGTTGGCAGAATGCCCAGAAGCAATTTGCAGGAAGCTGATAAGATAAGCAAGACAAGACATGAAGGTATGTGAACTAAGTTGTTCCCTGCAAATTGCTTCAGTCGGCATTCCTCCTTAAATAGGTTAAGGGAGTGGCCAATTAGCCCCAAGCCTTACTCTCGAGGAGATCTCCTCCTGAGGAGCCACTCCTGCCTTTTGGCAGCTCTGCGCGCCCGTGCATCAAGAAGAGGCTCCTCCTCTTCATCCTCTTCACTTAAGGGAGCTTCTGGAGGTTCTGAAGGCCCTGGCTGAATCCCCGCCTCTGGCACCACATCTTCTCCAGCCTCCTCATTGTCTGACTCGAGTGCCAGCTGCACAGACTGCTGGCGCAGCACTACACCAGCATCCTCGCTGTCTGAATCAGCTACTAGCTGCACAGGCTGCGTACGGGCCACAACACACATGTGAACACCTAGCTTTCTGCCTGTATGTATGTTGATAATCAGTCTTCTCCAGTTTGATAGTTGCCGTTTTGTTATCAGACCATCCTGACAGAATTGTGGGAAGTGATGTTCACTAAGTTAGGAAAGCTTGGGAATTGAATAAATACTAACCACATACCAATCCTTATGAAAGAACATTGATTTCTCTGAGGTGACGTGCATTTCTTATACTCTGGGCTTGGAAATAAGAGGATGGAACTGCCTCAGTCTTCCCCAATGAGACTGAGTTTATCTAGTATCTGGGCTGGAAGACAGGATCATCTTATCAGGATGCAACCTGAAACAGTTCTCCAATTATAGCTAATTGCCATTAAGTATTTGTTACTGCTCTTTTTTGTTATTGTTAGTTGCGAAGTTGTGACCCATCGCGACCCCATGGACAACATTCTCCAGGCTTCCTGTCCTCTACCATCCTCTGGAGTCCATTTAAACTCACGGCATTTGCTTCAGTGACTCCATCCAGCCACCTCATCCTCTACCGTCCCCTTCTTCTTTTGCCCTCAATCTTTCCCAGCATTAGGCTCTTCTCCAGTGAATCCTTCTTTCTCATTAGGTGGCCAAAGTATTTCAGTGTCATCTTCAGGATCTGGGTGAGTTCTTATATTGCAATGATCACTGCCAAGGCATAGGTAGAATTAATTCCTGGTATCACTAGATATAATTCCTTGTTTCTCTGGATTGAGCACCTACTGTTATATTTATGCCGCCTTTCCTTTGGGTATCAGACTCCATCCTTCCATTTTTTTAAATCACAGTAAATCCGTGAGGTATATTGGGTTGAGAGTGATTGGATCACCAAGTGAGCTTCCGTTGCTAAAGGAGGACTTGAATCTGGTCTCTTTTATTATTTGTACCCTTATGCCATAGTAACTAGTTAAAATCACAACTAGGATGACCTAGCTACTTCACTTCTTCACCTGCACTTCTCTTTCTTGATTATTGGAGAGCAACTTAATCCTCCATCTGGACTGAGCTTCATCTCTCAGGTTTCCCAGCTCAGAAGCCTAGGAGCTAGAAAATTTGGGAGCTCATCTGGAAGGCACCAGATTGGGGAAGACTATTCGAGAGTATGTTAGAATTTGTCCAATGTATCTGTATACCCAAACCTGGTGTAATCACGGCTATTTGAAACCAAATCATGGTTTTAAACCAAGCGAATCTTTGCTGATTTCAATTTTTTAGCACATCGGCTAAGCTAAGAATGAGATATTGTAGGTTCCTAAAAGAACTAGACAGTGCCTCTCCATTACACAACCCAAAACTGGTACTACAACTAGGGACTTGTAGCAGCACTATTTTTAACAATGCCCTTTCAAACCAGAACAACAGCTTTTATTCAATAAACAAGTGCCAGAATTAGTTCAGTAATTAATTCAGTAGCAGGGTCCTTGGTGCTCTCTGAGCTTGGTTGATTTCTTGCAGACATTTCATTACAAAAATTAGGTAATATCATCAGCACTAGCATTGATCATGTTACCTAGTTTGGGTAACGAAATGTCTGCAAGAAATCAACCAAGCTCAAAGAGCACCAAGGACCCCTCATTTCAACCCTGAGCTACAAATATTCTCCTTTATTGGTTCAGTCGGTTTAAGATGTACGTTCTTATTAGAACCTTAAGAAACATGCCTCTTGTGATGA